CCGCGGTCCTCATCCTTCTCCTCCTGTATTAATCCCCTGGGCTGCCCTGGGCCCTGGCAATGCTCGCCTGAATTGCTACTGTTTTCACATCTTTGCCAACCTGTTAACACTTTGAGAACAGAGACCTGGAATGATTGTATTCTCTGGGTGGCCAGTACCAGCCCAGGGCTGTGCACACAGTTAACTGTTCACAGCACTCTAACACAGACTGAGAGGGTCTATACAGAGTTGTTGTGTCTGCAGTGGTGTACACAGCAGACACTGGAGTCACAGTCCACACAAGGAGACCAGTGTTTTTAGCCTCGCCACACAGGGTACTTCCCTTTTGACTTCTAACAGACCCTGCTTATTAATTATTGTTGATAACTGGGATTGCAGGAGTGTGCCATCATGTCCTGCTCTGGAGACTTTGGACTAACAGATGAGCTCCGGTGGATAAACGGCTCCTACTTTCTCACAGACAGAAGACTCCAAGGGTCCTTGTGTACATCCTGATGTCAGCAGATGTGGCATCTCATCTTGATACTGAGCCTTTGGTTTAGTTTTTCCTGCCCTTTCTAGCCCTTATTATGCTAATTTAATAGGAAATCTCAAACAGAGGCTGGGCACACAGCTCCCTTAGGAGAGTGCTATCTTAGCTTGCAAAGGCACCGGGTTTAATCCCCAGCACCAGATGTGGTGATGTTTGGAACCCCAGCCCCAGTGAGGTGAGGCAGGACCACCAGAATTTCAAGGGATACGGAAGACCCTGTTTCAAAAGAACTAAGCACATCCCGGACAATCCAGAGTCCTCTACTTTCCTTGGCTTATTGCACCCTCATAGGCCTCCCCCCCAGACTGAGAAGCAGGGACATGATGATGAACAGATGATCATGGGAACGGGAGGACTCCAGATGTTTAGGAACAGCAACAAACTAAAAACAAAAAACAACGAAGAAACAAAACAAAAAAAATCTTTATCTTTGGGTACAACGGTGCATGCCTTTAATCCTAACACTTGGGAGGCAGAGACGGCAGATCTCTGTGAGTTCAAGGTCAGCCCAGTCAACAGCAAGTTCTGGCTAACTGGGGCTACAGAGTAAGACTAAGTCTCAAAAAGCCCAACTTTACCTTCGTAATTATTATTATTGGGGTGAGTGCATGCACACACACTCCCCGGTGCATGGGTGGACGTCAGAGGACAGTTTTGTGGAGTCAGGTCTCTCCCTCCACATTTACGTAGGTTCTGGGGAATCAGACTCGGGTCCTCAGACTCACACACAAGTGCCTGTACCTGCTGAGACACCTTGCTGGCCCTTAGTTATACTTTTCTTTTTTTAAATGTAAGTGTGCACATGGTGCATGTATAAGTGTGCGTACATGTATGTGTGAGGCCAGAGGACGATCCCAGGTGTCATTCTTGAGCCCTCCTCATCTACCTCCTTTGAGGCAGGGTTTTCCACTGGACTGGATCTCACCAATGGCCACTGAGCCTCAGGTGTCTTCATGTCTCTGCCTCGAATGCTGGAGTTAAAAGTCTCTTCCACCACACCTGGCATCTCTGTCTGGGCGCTGGGGATCAAACTCTGGTGCTTTATATTTACATTATGTTTATATTTACATGGAAAGCACTCTCCTGACTGGGCCATTTCCTCAGCTCCTAGATAGAATTTATTAATTGACAATTAAATTGACCAATTTCTGAAGCAAGGTTACTCAGGGTTTTGAGATTAGTTCTCTAGTTAATGAAGCTTTGTCTTGATTTTAGTTTTCTTGAGGTATTGATAGATTTATTCTTTTTTCATATATATATAATTTTTTTTTTTTTTTTTTTTGGACAAAGGTCACTAAGATCCTGACTGGCCCAAGCAGGCCTGAAACTCAAAATCCTACCTTAGCCTCTGAAGTATTGGGATTAAAGGTATGTGTCACTGCGCCTAGTTTTAGATTTTCTTTTTAAAATAGAACAAACGAATTTTTAAAAATCTTTTTAAGATTTATTTATTTTATGTTTGTGGTGCTCTATGCCAGAAGAGGGCGCCAGATCTCATTACAGATGGCAGTGAGCCACCATGTGGTTGCCGAGAATTGAACTCTGAACCACTGGAAGAGGAACCAGTGCTCTAACCTCTGAGCCATCTCTCCAGCAGCCAAACACATGAATTTTATAGAAGCTTTTTCTAGGCTGAATGAGAAAACATACTATCTTTCTATTGTTAAGATGGCGTGTAATAAAAGACAAATTCAGTGTTGGTGAGATGGCTCTGTGCTCGCCACCAAGCCTGGCGACCTGAGGACCCACACGGCAGAAGAAGAGAACTGTCCCCTACAGGTGTCCCCTGACCGCCACGTGAACACCATGTGACCCCCGCCCCCCACTCACGCACCCCCCAAACACACACACACCGCCACCACCACCTCATACGTCACAGGCATAATTCAAGGTAAAGATATTTAAAGGAGCAAGGAAAACAGTTCACACAGAACAGTGACATATTCACACCTTAGGAAGAAAACAAGTACAGCATATTTAAAAGAAATTATCCCTCAGAAATGAAGAAGAAATAAAGAATTTCTCAAGCAAACAGATATTGAGAGAATTTGTTGCCCATGGTTTATATTGAAAGAAACGTCAAAAGAACTTCTTAATAGAGGAGAATAATGTCAGCAAGAAACTCAGCTTTACATAAAAAAAAAAACAGCAGAAAGTGAGAGCAAAGCAAAATGACTGACTTTTTTATTCAAAACAATAATGACAGCAACACACTTGAACACACACACACACACACACACACACACACACGTACCCAGACTAGGGATCTCTCTCTCTCTCTCTCTCTCTCTCTCTCTCTCTCTC